GAGTGAGTGGGAAATGTGAGCACCTGAGATGTCTGGGTCACCCACTCAGATGATTATTCTTATTGAGACATATCTTTCTGCCCATGTATATTTCTGCCACAGTGGAAACTTGCCGAGGGTTTGCGGTTAAAGTGACAGACAGGTTCAGATGTATCAGGTTGGGCATTTTCAGACCTAATCTGCATGTCTGAGAACCGATTCGATGTTCTAAATTTATCAGAATGACTGGAAGAGCTTGGTGTGTTCGGGGGTTCGGGGTATGCGGCTGTTCAAAGCTTCTGGTGTGTGTGTGGGCGTGGGCGTGGGCGTGAGTGTGAGTGTGTGTGTGTGTGTGTGTGTATTTTTGTGACAAATGAGGACATAAATTTGTATAATGACAAAGGTATGACATAGGTATTACAGGGAGAATGGGAGAATGCAGGACATTACCCCATGTCCCCACTTTTCAAAACGCTTATAAATCACACAGAATGGAGTGTATTGAAAATCTGAAATAGCACACGGCAGGCTGTTCTCCACAAACTGTGGAGGAGACTCGGGTTCAAGTTTGATTGAATCTGAAAGCAGATCAAAGAGGGCAGGTTTATATCAAGAGTTGGACCAAAATACATGAATTAAACAGCTACTTATTGTTATAAAGCGGAGAGTTACGGTGCTTGATTCTGATTGGCTGAGCTGCGTTCAAAGCTGTTGTAAATTACTCTACAAACACACACCTTTGTTTACGTTTGTGTGTTACTCTGCAACCACTTTGTAGCAACCACAACTGTTTCTGAGGAGCTACATTGTTTGGTGGAAGAATACTGTGTTTATTAATATCATTACACTTTATTTGCTGTTTTATTTTGTGAAACCTTGCTACGTATATGGAATAACTGTTTTATAAAAGCAATAAGCCCCGTGAAGCCGTGGTTTACAGTGAATTTATAACACTCCGCTTCACGTCGTGCCTAACAACGCCCCTTAGCTGTTATAAATTCACTGTGAACCATGGCTTCACGGGGCTTATTGCTACATATAGTCTACATATTAGGGTAAAAATAAAAGGGTTGAAGGAATATTCATCCACAGAAAGAATTTTTAGGTGAACTATCCCCTCTCGTAAGCCTAAACATCACGCAAGAACTTCCCCAGTGAATGAGTCAAACTGAAGCGTACTTTGGGGTTGGTGTGCTCTGTAGCTGCTCTCTTCAGCAGTGTAGCTGCTCTCTTGAGCTCTGTAGACGCTCTCCTGCATCCTGTAGTTCTCCTGCGCTCTGTAGTTGTACATGTGCGTCAGATCCATCATGTGCGGCATCTCGTTCTGCGGCGGACTCGGCTCGTACTCCATGCCGGAGATGGTGGTGTAGTCCAGCGTGGAGAAAGGTTTCATGCCCATTGAGTGCGAGCTGTCGTCCAGTTCGTCCAGTTCCAGAGCGCTCAGGCCGAATCCCACGGGCCAGGCAAACGTCTGCGTGTCCACCATGTCTGCCAAAGCAAGACCAACCACAGAATGAGGCCAAAGGCAACCCTGTGTTCTAGTAAGAACGACAAAAACATCAACAACACTGGATCTCCACGATCATTCGCTGAGAGCTAAGCTACATCATGTGTGTCATTGCTTTTTTTTTTTTTTTTTAAATCTCTACAGACATTTGCCATTGCAATGATAGTTTTGGCACTGAACAAGAGAAAAGAGGGGGAAAAACCCTAACCTAAAAATGGTCAAATATAAGTCAACTGGTTTTATTCAAGTCGCAAATATTCAACCTAAATACATTCATTTATACCAACAAAACTGAATTCTATGGGTGCAATCAAGTAAAAAACGCAGGTTACCCATTTTCAAGTGTACCACAGTTATTATAAAAACTGTGATACCTTGGTCTTAACTATATCAAAAAATCAAATCAAATAAAAAATTCTGGCCACACTTTATTTTAGTATGTCCTTATTACAGTGTAATTACACACATATAACTATATAATAGTAATTAGCAATGTGTACTTACTATGGGTTTAGGGTTAGGTTTTGGCTTAATTGCTTGTAATTGTGCATAAAATACCATTATTACTATAGTAAATACACGCAACACGTAACAGACACACTAAAACAAAGTGTTACAAAGTTGTTAAAATATTTGTGCATTATGATTTTACAGAGCAATCGATGACTGGAATCTACTTCCTGCTGCTGTGAAAGTTATGGTGTTTTCCCTAGAAAATTAGAAATGTTGTTACTGTGAAATGTAACATGTAAACATGTTATTAGGCGTGCAAATTCTGCTCAATCTTTAGATTTTTATGATTACATATCTTTAGGAATAACATCCACACATTAACATGTGCCTCAGTCCCCGCCGCAGCTGGACAATGTTCAAGGACAAATAAAATCTGCTTATAACCATATAACTCAAGTAACTGATAATTATAACTGATTTAAGTCAAGTAACTAATCTTAAGCAAGAAGCAAGAATTACTATGATTACTTTACCATGGCAAATTCTCATAAATAATCAAGTTACACTGACAAATGCTAACATAAATTAACTTCAAGTCAAAAATATTAGTTTACAGCACTGAATCAACCTATATATATGCCAATCAATCAAGCAATTTTTTATGGGTTAAATCAGGTAGAAACAGCTCTTTAAGGTAACAATTACCACTTTTTGCTGTGTATTTTACTACTGTAAAATCATATTAAATTAATTGCATTTAAATAATAAAAAACTGGTGACACTTAAGCATAAATACAAGCAACTAACATTAACCAAAACTCAACCTTAAACCTTAGTTTTCCAGGAACTACAGATGAAATGAACAATTCCGGCTAAATCGGGCACATTTATATCACAGTGTGATGGTAGCTATTGTGTATTGTCCCCGATAAATACAAATGCACACTTTTATAAAGGATATGAACATGTGCAAAACCTCTGAATGTCATGTGAGAAAACATTCAAAGAGAGTGAGAAGAGAGAAAACATCAAAAAGCCTCCGACAACACGAAACACAACAGTATATAAAGTGTCAAAACACCTCAGATATCCAGCCAACGAGAAGATGAGCTCCGCTCCTGGTGTAAAAAACACTCGTGCTGAGACTTAAAGACGCTCAAAGTGTGAACATGCCACCAAATTAGACTGGCCTCTACAGACAGGGTTTGTGTGAAAAAAGAAACCGCAGAAGAAAAAAAAACCTTGCTAGTTAGCTACTATTCAGCATTTAATGCCAACTGATTCTATCACGTGTAAATGAGCAGATGCCAAAAAACATTTTGTTTGACCTAAAAGCATAGATGTTCAGCAACTGTACAGTTAAAGGTGAAGTGTGCAATCGATTGTAGAATATGCAGAAACAATTAAAGTGTAAGACACTGTAGGTTGATTTCCTAGAAAAGTGTAACGCCGTGTGACGCTTTCAAAACACTGATCTGTTTGTTTGAGCATCATGACCAGCAACACTGCCTCCAACTGTTTGACTGCTTTAAAAACATTCATTACTTTCCGTTCAGCACAGAAACGCACACCTCAGCTTGCTTTTCTCATTGAAATCCTTTACAAGCGTCACTGCTCAACTGTGGTGATGACCAAAAGCGAAGCTGCTTGGTGAAAAACGTGTCTTTGTGTTGAGGTTGCTGCCGCTCCAAGGTGTTTTCTGTTCTTCCTTGAGCACAAATAATGAATTCTAGCTCTAAAAATGTAAACATTTATACAATTATGCTTTATTACTATATGTTATTGATCTAGTGTGATGCCACATCTCTGCTATCGGTTCTGTGTTCATCTCTTGGTGGTCTGTACTTCATTTGACTGTTTAACAGCACAGATTTCATTTATTTGATTCTTTGCAGGTAAATTTAAGAGATGGGCACAAATGCATACGAGACCTTCTGTCCTCAATAGCAGCGCCTATAGTGAAGTTGATGGTTTAGAGCGTGCTTTAAAGCGAAGGGACTAATTTCATGTGACACATCCGTTATGAAATGTCTGAATGGTTTTTAAATAATGATTTTTAAGACGCAGGCTCTTCTGTAAACGCTTCAGAAACAGGCAGACGTGCTAAATATAGAATACAAATTCAGGGTGCAATTGCCACAGAGAAAAGATCGTAGTTGATAATAAACCGAAGTCTAACATGGTTAACCCATCAATGACAAACAGCGTCGGCCCTGTGCAAAATTGTATATAATCAAGGTCGCTGGTTGTGTAAAACCACACAGCAGAAATCGTGTGAACCACTCGATTCTCCAATATTTGAATACACAGTTCTTCCCTCAGAAAAACACATATACAACAGCAAGTGCTCTCGTCAGGGATAAAACCTGTAATTTACATAGATTAAACAGTTCTGGTCTTGTCCGGATGACACGAAGGGGTTTAAATGTAAAGTTTTCCCACCCAAAAAAATCTTTCATCACCGGACTGGAATTCCGGAGCTTTCAATTCATGCTAAACACGAGAGATGTTGAAGAAGAAAACATTCAGTCGTGAACCTGGACGAAGTATTCCACTGGAAAGGTTCCCAGTGGCTTTCCACAAATACCAACAGGTCTGACACATCCTTATTACCGTCCGATCGGGACGCGATCAACCCGACAATCCCCCCCACTCCCAATTGTCTTTTGTCAGTAGGGAGAACAGCTTTTCTTGATACTGTGAGCTGTAGAACTGTCTATTCTTAGTAAAAGGCAAAGTTTCCGTTCATAACATGCCCGTTTTGAAATGTGGAAAACATTGTTTGCTCTAGTTGGCAAAAGTTGTCGAAGCATAGTCAGAAATTTAGTTTAGTGAGACAAACTCTCCTACACTACTCCTTTGACTCAAGCGGTTGAAAACCTAGAGATATTTTGGTTGAAACCACAAGCCCATCGAAATTTAAGGGCGAACCTGTATTTTTGACACTGCAGTGCGTTACGACTATATCTACAGCTTATCACCAGCCAGCGCTTGCATAGTCTTAACTCTGAGAAACACTGGGGGACAATGGGGCGCTCAAGTCATCGTACCTGTCATTGGCCCAAACTGTTTGCACCGTTATGACGTGCGAAGAGAACATAACAATGCATGACAAATTGTCAAGTTAATGCCCTGTATCTTAACAAAAGACAACAAACACCACGTGAACCAACCACTAATGGACAGATTTCAGCGCTGCGTCCTCCAACCAAGTCTGATCTTGCAATGAATGTGGAAGCTGAGACAAAACTCAAAACTAAACGTCGACTTGAAGAACTGCAGGCACGGACTCAGACATCTGTAGACATCTGTAGCCTATTTACTGGTTCTGATAATAAAACAACTAGATTTTTATGTGGTCTGTCAGTGGATTCAGGATTTTACTCAAATTAATATCCAAATATTTGCTGGAAAAAGTTCTTTTTTTCACCCGTTTGTTTTTTTGTCAGACACTGATCCCATAATACAGTAACAGCACATCTCTGGAGTACAAATGCTGAGTTTAATTAACATTAGACTGAGATTGTTTTTCAGTGACTAAACAGTAAGCTAGTACTATACTGAGGTGTTGCAGTGATTGTACAGACTTCACTGCTGATGTTAGTAAGTCAAGCAAAGCAGTCTGTTATGTGAAATCTATTCCGCAGGGACACTATTGCAACAGGACCGTGATGTTTTTCACTGATATTTCCTAATAAACGGCAAGTCGAAAAAGAATGAGGCCACAACGTTTTTCACGAGAGAAAGATTCTGGCTAGACAACAAGAAAGATCCCCCCAAAAATAATGGTTTCTTAAAGTTTAAACGTTCAGACGATCAGAACTCGCCCTTCAAGAAAATGCTGAAAAATATGAAAGTTCACCTACTACAGTGTCGTCTCCAGGCTCACGTGTGATTTTTAAATTGCTTTGCATCACACTTTACAGAAGCCTGGCGCTGCACTGAAAACAAGGCAATCGACGTTAAAAACGGTGCACGTACAAGAAGAACCTGCTTGGCTGCATTTCAGGTTCTGACGGAGGGACTCTACCGCAGACAGACATGACTTCTGTTTCCTTGAAAGATTCCCAATGGTGATTCTATGAAAGATAACACTTCTCAAAATCTGATAAAAGGGCATTTTCAACCCGGTTTCATAAAAATACGTACCTCTGTGTACTTTTTGTGCAACACTGTTTTTACGTACCTTACTGCACGTTTTGCCGCAGTTTCAAAGAGAAATGTCCACTGAGTGACGCTAAAACACGGGTTCAATACGGCACGTTTTTATTACGTTGATATAGGTAAAAATGTAAACATTTATACAATTATGCTTTATTACTATATGTTATTGATCTAGTGTGATGCCACATCTCTGCTATCGGTTCTGTGTTCATCTCTTGGTGGTCTGTACTTCATTTGACTGTTTAACAGCACAGATTTCATTTATTTGATTCTTTGCAGGTAAATTTAAGAGATGGGCACAAATGCATACGAGACCTTCTGTCCTCAATAGCAGCGCCTATAGTGAAGTTGATGGTTTAGAGCG